TGCAGATTTGGTGCTAACAAGAGAACTAATCCTGATTAAAACAATTTGTATTCTTGCACAACATGGTCTGGAAAATTATACACATGAAGCTATCCCAGCAAAAACCTGGAGGAAAGCCATGGCTGCAGCAATGCCCTGGTAGGGGAACTGACTGAAATCCCTGGAACCAGGTTTATTCCAGTTTGTATTTTGTCCAATAATAATAAATAAATCCATGAATTTCTTGAGTTCTTCCAAGTTTGGCCAACAACAAATTGACTCAATTAATCTTTTGCTGTTTTTCTTAGAAGCTCCATTATGGCTTTGCACGTGCCATGAACAGCTCAGCTCTGATTCAGCAATTTAGTCTTATTTCACATAAATAATGTAAAAGTACTTGCAGAACTTCCACTTTTTGGTGCTAAGGCTATGTCTTTTATATCGATACTGTTTTCTACTTTCATGTATGGAACTCAAATTGCTGCAGCCCAGATCATTCCTGGTATTGGTGCTGGGAAATATTATTGGGCATGCCTATATGTGCAATTAATGCACATGAATTTACTGTGCAGTAAATTCATGCACAGTAAACTATTCCCAGGTATGCATCTACATGTGCGCCCAGGTCAGGAGCAAGAAATACCTGACAGGAGCAGTGTAATCCAGAGCTGCTCCCACCTTTCATAGATTTCATAGATATTTGGGCTGGAAGGGACCCTGGAGGATCATCGAGTCCAGCCCCCCCACCCCAGGGGCAGGAAGTCAGCAGGGATCATAGGATCCCAGCAAGATAAGCATCCAAATGTGTTTTGAAGGTGTTCAAAGTGGGTGCTTGAACCACCTCAGGTGGCAGTCTGTTCCAAACCTTGGGGGGCTCGGCAGTGAAGAAGTTCTTTCTTATGTCCAGCCTGAACCGGTCACAGTGGAGTTTGTGACTGTTCGATCTTGTCATCCCTTGGGGGGCTCTGGTGAACAGTCATTTCCCCAGATCCTGATGAGCACCCCTAATAAGCTTATAGGTGGCCCCTGAGCCTGCGCCAGATCACCCCTGAGCCTGTGCTTTTTCAGGCTGAATAGCCCCATTGCTCTCAGCCTCTTATCATAACGTCTGTTTTCCTGCCCTCTGATCGTGTGCATGGCTCTCCTCTGCACCCTCTCTCAAGCTTTTCCACATCCTTTTTGAATTGCGGAGCCCAAAACTGGACGCAGTACTCCAGCTGCAGCCTCACCAAGGCCGAGTACAGTGGGAGAATGACATCCCAGGATCTGCTTGAGAAGCATCTATGGATGCAAGCCAGTGTTTTGCTCACTTTACTAGCTGCAGCATCACACTGAAGGCTCATGTTCATCTTGTGGTCAACCACGACCCCCAAGTCCCTTTCATCTGTAGTGTTAACCAGCGTAGCACTACCGAGCCTATAAGTATGGTGCAGGCTGTTCCTCCCAAGGTGGAGAACCTTGCATTTTTTTGGTGTTGAACACCATCAGGTTCTCGTCTGCCCATTTCATCCAGAGCCGCCTGGATCACTCTCGTGTCCTCAGGTGTGGATGCTTTACCTCAGAGTTTGGTGTCATCAGCGAACTTGGCCAATCTGCTCTGACACCAATGTCAGAAGCAGCAGCCAGGGGGACCTCCAGGCTCCAGCCACAGCTGCCCAGTTGCAGCCTTGGGCTGGCAGAGGCCATGGGATTTAGCCCTGAGTTCCAGGGGTTGGTGGAGGGAGATGAGCCTGGCTATGGGGCAGCTCTGTACAGCATGGAGCTCAGGGGGAGCTGTCCCCAGCTCCAGGGGCAACTCTGGGGCCAGGTTGCCCCTTGCTCCCTAGAGCTTGGGGCTAACCCAAGCAGGAGTTGTGGCCCCCAGCTGCCTGGGCTGACCAGGAGCAATTTACTCCTGAGTCAGCATCTACACATGTGTTTAGGTACATTAATGTAAAGCACCACTGGGTAGTACCTGTATCTGTCAGTACTACCTGATGGCTAGAAAATAATATTTAGAGGTTTGCTTTTAGAAATTGGCTTGTAGGTAAGGCAGATATGCATTAGAACAATGGTCCAGGGGAATGGCAAGAATTAATTGGTTTCTAATAGCCTGTTTGTGACAGAGTTTCCTTCAAGGCCCACCACATCTGAAAACAGGAGACACTGTGTCTAAGGCCAACAGGCAAGCAGGTATACAGAGGCTAAAACATTGAAAATATGTACCACAGTGTTCCCTAAAAACTCCAACACAGAGATAAAGGACTCTGCTGTGGTGGCCAGGTCACAGTGACCAGCTGCAGAGCCCTTGGAATTTCCAGTTTTGGTGGACAAATCAAATAAAGACACCAATAAATGACCAAACTAAGTATAGAATGGGTTTGGGAAACAAAAATATCCTTACAGAACAGAACAGAAACAGTATGACGATCATAGGAAAACCAATCAATGGTACCCAGAAATGAAGAGTCATCGGATGGAATTAAAAATACAAAAGAAGGGATTTCAAAGCAGCAAAGGGTCCCTAAGGGGGGAAACTCAAAGCCACCATAAACAGAGGGCACACCACCAGCCCGTCTCACCCACCCAGGAGAGGGTGGGCCTCGGCCCTCAACCTCCAGGATACTGACATCTGACATTCAAAACAGAACCGCAGGAGGAAGCTCATGTACTGGCCAGATGTACTTTGCCTCTGCAACAGCCCTAGGACTGGTAGATGTAGATATTTTGTTTGCCTTGTCTGCATTACTCTTATCTGCTATCACTGTGTATCAGTAAAATTTGCCTATTATCAAATGAAAAAGTCATGATCAGTCTAAGAGTTTGAGTCCACCTGAAACAAAGTATCTGGATCATAAATCCAGTGCCAACACTACCCAATGTCGCTTTACATTAATCTGTGCACTAATAGCAGCACACGTGTAGATTGTGACCCTTTACTGCACATTAGTCTAATGCACAGTAAAGCTTATGTGTAGATATGCCCACTATGTCTATTTTACAGAAGCAGTATAAGTGAGTCAAATCACAGGAGAGTTGGAACATAAGAGTCCCAAAGTCCAGTTCTTGGCAATGGCTGGTGTTGTCTACAGTACTTGACCAGTACTACAATAACCTCTTTATATTCACTGTAATTTATTTTGGTAGACAACCTGCAAAATCAGGCTCCGGATTTGCACATTAGGTGGATCAAAAGGATCATCTCATGACTGGAAGTTAAACCAGTGACCTAGAATAGTATTTGGTGGAAAAGGAACTATGCATTTTTTTTTTATCTGCGCCAACATTATACTAGCTATGTAGGTATTGGGCTACAAAGCTGCATACAAGTTGAGCATCCATGGAGACAAAAATTCTCTGCATCAAGCCCCAAGTTAGTATAGCTATGCCTGACTGTTTAAAATGTCTGTCAGAAGGAGAATGTGCATATCTATTCTGGTCAGTCTAATCATTGAATATTTATGCAAAAGTTTCAGTCAAATTAAATATTCCTAGACATTTACTATAGTTGAAGGATTCAGATATTTGAATATAAGAATCAAGAGCTTCATCTCTACTGATAGGAATAACTTGTTTAATAAATATGAACAACTAGATTTGTCACATTTTTGGAAGCAGTGGGGTGAAATGATGGGAGCCGATCTGGGCATCAGGGTCCCTTTCCAATTCAGCCATTGACTCATTGCACGGCCTTGAGCAAAGTATCACTGCCTTTGCCTTAGTTTTTTCCCTAGCTTAATAGAGTTCTTGGGGTGGTCAGATGAAAGGCTTCCTACTCATATGAAGTCTTGCTGTTATCTAACAACCCTACGTAGGCTGCAATTCATAAAGCTGTCTCTGCACAACCAGTTCTGGTCTAAAGTAATTGGAATTATGCATATAAACCTCAGAAGAAACTTTGAAAATCTCAGCCTGGCTCTTTGGGGCATTCTTGCAACAAATTATAGGACAGTCTTAAATGCAAGCTGAAAGAGGGCCTCATGGTTACAGCACTAGCTTGGGACATGGGCAACTTCGATTTGGTTGCCTGTATGACATCAGGCAAGTGGCTTTTTATTGCTGTGACTTACATTCCCAACTGTAAAGTGAGGATAATAGCACTTCCTTGTCTGACAGGGGTGTTGTGAGGATAAACATGTTAAAGACTGCTCAGATACTATGGTAACCATTTAGATAGAAACGATTTTAAAAAGGAGCATGTAGCAGCTTCATTTCTTTAGCTTGTTTGTCACCTAATGAAATTTATTCCAAGAATAGAAATTTAGGAGGGGACAGCTGGACCTGAAACTCTTCTTTGCAGTTTTCAAAATGTAGCCTTTTTAGTAAAGTAAGTGTTGATCACCTAAATTCTTTCTTCTTGATGTTTTCCTTAAAAAAAAAAATCAAACAGTTTAAACCCATTTTTTAAATGTTCATATAAACCAATGAAAATGGTTCCCTCAAACTGCGGTTGGAGCTGTGACTATTGGAGAAAAATCACTGGCAGGCATGAGTACTTCAAAACAGAAAACAGGCAAGCTACTGGATAGTTTAATTAAGATTAATTGAGAAAAGAAGAAAAAGAGGACATTTTTCAAGAAAACAAATCACTTGAAGCTATATTTTGAACTCAGCCACATAGCTAAACATATGGAGTAGTTCCTCTGACATCAATTATTTCAGGTTTACCAGAATTAAGTACAATGGGATGCGACTCTCAAAGTATTTTCTTCATCCTTGAATAATCAAGAGTTAACTATGACGGTACACAAACTACATTTAGCACTGGGCAGCTGAGCTGGAACAAAGTCCTTGGTGGTGAGTTATACAGAACTTGGTACACTGAAGTGATGCCACTTGATTGGCATTGTCTTGAACCCTGTCAATTTTGCTCATCTTGAACAGGTTTGACAAATCACAAACACAGCCAGAAAAATTTGAGTTCTCAAGAGGAATATATGGACTTGAGAAAGCTTTGTAGCCAAGGTCTAAACTTGTCTCACACCACCACTGGGTGATGATGCGGTTTGGTCTAAAGCAGGGTGCATCTACACTTCTATTAATGCACTAACAGCTTACTGTGCAGTAACAAACTGAGCAGTAAGCTTTCCCTGGAAGCATGTCTACACATGTGCCCATTGCAAGCAAATTTACTCCCGAGGGCAGCAGTTTAGTGCAGGGCTACTTTTGTCCTGCTTTGCACTGGGGTCAGGCCTGGGCTCTGTGGCAGCAGGGGGAGCTGTCCCATCTCTGGGGCAGCTGCCTGCTGCCCAGCCCCCACTCCAAGGTCAGAGCGGAGGCTGGGACATTGTTCCCTGCCCTTGCAGCTGTCTGCTGTTGGGCTCCCACTCCAATCTCTGAGATGGGGCTGGGGACAATGCCCCAGTCCCAGCAGCTGCCCACTGTTTGGCCCCTGCTCTGATGTCAGAGTACGAGCTCGGACGTTTTCCCCTGCCCTGGCAGCTGCCTGCTTCTGGGCCAGGGGATGATGTCCCAACCCTGGCTTCAATCAGCTGGAAAGCAGGCAGCTGCCCAGGAGTTCTCCTGCCCCCTGCTGCCAGCCCAGGAGCTATTTGCATGGTAAATCTACTACCTGTATTTACAGGTAGTAGAAAACTGCATATTAGCTTATTTTACGGCACAGTAACTGCTGAACGTAGTTACATAGTGAATGGTTACATAGATTAGTCTACTATGCAGTAAAGTGTCTCATACAGACCCGCAGAGTATAAAAGTGAATGCTAGGACCAACTTAGATGTTGCAGATTTAACTGAGCTGAGAAGCACGTAGATATTAGGGTGAGAGGCAACTTAGAAGAACCTTAAGCCAGTGGCCCTCAGCCTTTTCAGAGCCAGGGCACCCCTCCACCACTTTGAATGTGGTGGTACCCTCAGTTGAGAACTACTGTTGGTGCTGCCTAATTTTATCTCAGTGCTTCTCCAGCAGGTGTTGCTGTCTCCAGATAAAATTGCCCCACGCCTGCTGAGCAACCAGCCCGGGGCCTCTACATGTTCTCCTGCTGCTTTAGGGCTTTGATCAGCATAAAGCCGGTTTAGCCCTCCCCGTGCAGGTGGAATTGCCCTGCATCCCTCTATTGCTGGGAGAAGCATGGGAGGGACTGGACTGGCCAGGTCTACAGCTGAGCCAGCTCCTGCCTACATCTGGCTGATCGGAGCCCTGATGCTGCAGAAGTGCACACAGTGCAGCTTTACCTGGCTGCCACCATGACAGCCCTCAGAGGGTTTGCAGAAGCCTAGCTGAGACCCACTGCCTTAAAAGAAACAGGAAGAGACGGACACAGACACAGACAGACTAACAAAACATCTAGAAATTTAATTCTGAAGACCAGGTAAACTACTAGCTCAGATGTTCCAGTTTGATCAATTTTTAGTAGATCAAGCTGCTGCAGAAAAGAGGAGATATTTATTACTCCTGAACAGGAAATAGATCTTTACCTACATATCTCCATGCTCGACAAATACCTCTAAAATGCATTTTAACAAGTACAATTAAGAAATACTACCAACTAGCATATACTTCAGCACTATGTAATTTAATACAAAGCTCTGCTACGATTTAAGATGCTGCATGTTGCTCTTGCTTTAATCTATAAATCACATGCAACCATCTAGTAAGAAAGCTCACATACATTATCCATAAAATACTAAGGCAATTTAATGGTTTTGCACCTGGCTAGGCTTGTAAAGCTGATCAGGTTGCAAAACAGCTTTAAGTTGGCGTAGAAAGGCCCAGTCGCAGTAGGAAACCTCTGTCTTCCATGTTTTCCTTCTTACCGCTTTTCAGCATCTTTCTTCACCTGTCTTCTATACAGGGGTTGACCTCTATAAAATGCCGACAGTCAAAAGCATCTAAGGTTAACCAACATTTAAAAGATTACAGGTATGAAGAAAGTTTTGTTTTTTCAAAATCTGGTATATCCAAGCAGAAGAATCCCTGTCTAGAATTGCTGAGCCTAACATCAATTAGTAGTTTATAACAGATCTAATTAAAAAACAGTGTGGAATTTACAGGGTTAATGGATTCAGGATCGAACTCACCTAAATATACTTTTACCCACAAATGAACAAATCTGAGGTAAAGCTGTTGCAGGCATGCAGCCTCTACACAAAGACCACGCTGGAAGCAAGTGAACTTCAAAAGGGAGAATAGATGGTATGTCAGGAGAGTTGGTAAGGATTTCAGTGAAAGTACTGAACTCTGCTATCTAAGTAAGGACAAAGTAAATGATCTGTGCTTCAGGTTTTTTTGCACAATGTGCCAACAAGCTGTACCTGCTTATGCGAGGTCTGAAGTTGCCAAGCCCTTCTCTTGAAATGAAAAAGAAATCACTGGAATAGATATTCCAATGCAAGGAATTTTTCTTCTCCTTCAAGTGACATCTTCAATTTGGAGGATTGTCCATCATGATCTTACATCTTTTGCAGCCATGACAAACCTATAAAATGTCCACTCTGATCTGCATATCACTCCATCTTGCCATGCCTCTGACATGTTTGGCTCTCCTTCTCTCCTCTCTCATTTTCTTCCTATTTTTGCCTGATAGTATATGCGCTAGATATAGTATACTATGAATACAAGAAGGAACTATGTCCTTATGGGACAAGTTCAGCAAATGTGTGGCAAGCAGGACCCGATCTAAGTTACCACAGCTTTAAAGTATGCACGTGCCCTCAGAGACAGAGTGCAGAAGTCTGCAGAAATTGCCGACCGCTCCGTGACTAAGGCTTGCTGTTCGTATTTATGTAAGTGTTTACTGATCTGTGCTTATGAACCTGGTGATCACTATACCAGGCATTGATGTAAGCCTGGTACAGACATTCAGTTTCTCCTGGAAGAGTTGCTTCTGTCTCAGGAGATACCATGAGTGTACAGATGTTCAGGCATTTTCTCCTACACTAAAAATGGCAACTCCAGGAGAAAAAGAACCTGGGAACAACCAGGGTTAAATCACTGTCAGGAGAGTTTCTCCTGGGAGAGCGAATGTCTGTACATGCTGTGGTAGGTACATTTTTCTACAAGAAGAACAATCCTGGGAGAATTGTCCCAAATTATTTGAATGTACATGCACAGCATAATTACTACGGGACAGCTGTCCAGATCTAGTGTCTAAAATTCAAGAGGGATGTTGTTAAACTTGAAGAAAATGCAAGAAAGATCCACTAGAATGATAAAGAGAACTTCAGTGAGAGATTCCAGAAGCTCAATCTATTTCATTTATCAAAGAGAAAGTGAAGGGAAGATTTGGTCATAGTCTGTAAATACCTACATAGGAAATGAAATGTGGTTACCAGGCTCTTCAATCTAGCAGACAGGGACATTATAAGAGCTAGTGGATGAAAGTTAAGCTAGACAAATTTACTTTAGAAGTAAGGTGCACATTTCTAACGGTGAGGGCAATTAACCACTGGAACACTTTACCAAGAATTGCCATGGATTGCCCTTTACTAGAAATGTTTTGATCAAGTTTGGGTGTTTATTTTTTGTTTAAACAAGAATGAATTTATAGAAATTACATGACCTATATTATACAAGAAGTCATACAAAATGATCACAAAGGTCCCTTGGGACATCATCTAAGAACCCATGATCTTACTAGTACACTAATACTCATCTCTCTTCTGCTGTGCAACATCTGTGACACCAATGTCTCTCTCATGCTCCCTTATGAACCAGGATTTGCTCTGATTTCAAATGCAGCAAAGATGTGAGTACTGCTGAATCAGGCTCCTCATACTCCTTTCCACCTCCTCCTTGCATTGCTTCTGAATCACAAAACAATAAAAGGGGGCAATGAGGTGAATACAGGGGACTTCCACCATCAGACATAATATTAGGAACATGCTGATGCACACAACTGAAATCTCTGCAGAAAATATTCTTCACCTTGTGTTCTGCAAAAGTGAGATATGCAACATTGTTCCTGTCCCCACTTGAACCTCTGAGTGTTTACTTGAGCTGATTAATTATCCAGGTTCAGTTTGTGTAATCTACACATAGTTTACCATTAATTATTCTATAACCCATTGATTTTGCTGGGCCTAATTTAAAACTACAGAGGTAGGGCACCAAATCACATTGCTCTGTACTGCAAATGACTTATTTTTAAACCTCACTACCTGGCCTAGAACACAGCTAAATATTTATGAATTTTCTGGGAGGGAGCAGACTCTTACATCCAAACAAATGGTTTCAAATAAAAAGGTTAATGAAAGCTCCCTCCTGCCCTGGCCCTGACAAAATGAAGTCATAGACAGGGGTCATATTACTAGTAGGGCAAAGAATACGAACTGCTGGGATAGACAAGACTGGGTATGAAGCCTTTTTAACACACTTGGTTGCTACAGTATGATTCTGTTTATTTTATTAAGCACACAGATTTCTTTGGACGGGCGTGCAGTATAATGCGTCATCTCCCGAGTGACATTTATGTGCCCCTTTAATTAATGACCCACATTTTGGTTTGCATTGTGTTAGAGGTATGTGGATGGGCCAAAGAGAAAAGCAATGGAAGAACAAGTGGAAGGAAATGTACCCCTCTGTATTAGACTGCTGGGTATGAAATGACTGGCACAAGCATTACTTTGAGGGGGATTTGCACTAAAGGGGAGTGGCCAGGAGGAAAATGGTGTTTTGCTATTCCATATGTAACAGCTGTGCTATTTTGTACTAGAGTCTTTAATTCTCATTCATTTAATAGCTACATTTCTACAAGAGAAAACAACAAGGGTAATAATGTACATATACCACTGTTTTGGTTGTTGCCATGCTTGTTTGGCATAGCTATGATTTTCTGTGGTTCATTACAAATCAGATGTATTTGAAATTATGACAAAAGAAGGAGGCCAATTCTTCCTTGTAATTGCAAATAAAAGCTCTCCCTTATACCAGGAGATATCTGATGACTTTGTTACCCTGACTGTTCACATATCATTGTGTACTTTATTGTTCAGCCCATTCAGCAGCACCGCACCAAGTTCCCTGGGCTTCTTTTAAATAAGCCGTATTGGCTTGTTTAAGCTAACGAGGAGATCATAAGTCTAGTAAATGTGCATGGTAATCACAGGAAGAATATTGTCATTGATATAGACATTTTTCTTTTTTTCTTCCAACATTTCTAAGGGCCTGCTTCAAAGAACATTGATGTTCATGGAAAGACTCTCAGTGGTCCTGGATCGTGACCTCAGTAAAAGGCAGCAAACATGGTAAAACAGGAAGCACGCCGAATTCTCCCAGCAACGTGCAATCAAGAATAATTCTGTGCTGCAGCAAGACTGTTATTCTTAAGGAGTTTTTAGAGCTAACTAATGGAATGATAATTACTATGTATTATAGGCCAATGATGTCTGTCTCTAATGCCCTGTTTGCAATAGGAAAAAAAAGGTGTTTTTACAATGCAACAGTTAATATGTGATCTCTAATGTGTTGTGAAATCCTAGTGTAGAAAGGGTAATTTGTAGTTTTACATCAGTTGAGCTGGTCAAGATGAACCCTACCTGTCACATTTAAAAACATGCTTCTTTCTTAACATAGACATAACCCCCAGCTCCATTTTTGCATAGCCTTACTCATACTGATTATACAGCATCAATGATAATGTGGTAAATTGGGATAATAGGAGCTCCTGTAAGTCTCAGAAAGCAAGCTCCTTCAATTCAGAAAATGGAAGAAATCAACATATCAAGAGTCATTTAGCATTAGGGCTAATTAGTAAGAAAAGGTTACAGCTATTTTTGTTAGCAAGCAACTAAAGAATATGATATGTAGCATTAATGCAGGGTCTCAACCAATGTAGTGGTGATTTCAGCTGACCAATGAAAGGTTGACGTGCACAAGTTCGCAGTCATGTTATCAACAGAATTGTGCATTTCACATGGTGCAAAGTCCCAAGCTGCTTGCTTTATACGTTCTGCAACAGAGAAATTTATCGTGCTGTTTTCATTAAGATGACAAGAGTAATCCATTTTCACCACCTCAATCTTTATTGTGATTTCACAGTAAATTTGCTCTTGATTTTAATGGTCTGAAGGTACTTGCAAAGGGCATGGCAGGCAATGAGTTAAACCCTTTGCAATTTGCTTTGCAGTAGCATGGCTTGGTACAGAGATGCACCATCTGGGCATTATCCCCTTTTGCAGAGACAGTCTTCCAGGCTTTTCTGACCTACCCTAGGGTCCCATGAACAGCTGTCCAAAAACTTCCACTGTTGTAGTGTAGTTCTTATGGGAATGAAGAACAAACAATATTCGATGCTTCTCTATATTCCATTAACATTGAAAAAGGCAGTTGGGTGGAACCAGATTTAATCTACCAGCAGACAGGTAGACACCTTTGTGTTCAGAGACAACCAAAGGGTTTTTCACCTGTCTCAGCTCCTGTCTAGTTAAATTTGCAGCCTCTTTCTGTAGATGTTGTTTAATCTCCATTCAAATTCATTTTTTTTCAGCCCCTGAACAATCCTATTGATCCACAAGAGGACACCTTTTTATTTATCTGGCAGTACATAATGTATCTGCTTCATGAGTACTCTGGTACTCTGTATCGCTCCATTATAATGGACCCCCCTTCTGCTATTTTCTAAGGCTGAGAACCCCTCTTTGTTTAAAGCTTGAATCCTTAAAATCTGCATCCTTATGTAGATTGCCCTGAAATTTGGCAGCAATGAGCCAAATTAGGGGTTACCTAAATAAAGGGCTATGAGATACACTCCCTGTACATGTATGAGGAACAAGAGACACAAATGTCAGAGTCTGAAAAATAATACTAGGACACACCCTGTACCAGAAATTCTCAACCCTGTGGTCCCATGAGATCCTGTTAAGGGTGCCAGTGGGTGCCACACAATGTTAGCACTGCTAGGCGTGCAAGTATGGTTTGCTGGATGAACCTAGAGCTTTCATGCAAAAATCTAAAATGTTAAAAATAGTTTGCCTTGCTGTGGTCTTTCTGAGTTCTTTGCAACAGAAGCACTGCTCTGTTATTTTTTTTTGGTAGAAAGAAAATGAGTGAAAACAAAGAGCATTTTCCAAGAGGTGCCTTGAGTCAATTGATAGGCACCTTGAGTCTAAAAAGGTTGAGAACCACTGTCCTACACCAATACCTATTAAGGGAACTGGCCATGGGTAGAGTGGTTGGGGCCACCACCATGGAGCAGAGAGCTAACCAGGTGGGGTAGGGACATAGCGAAAGCAAGGTAGTGACCCAACTGGGAAGAGTATCATAAAAGATTGCAAAGTCTGCTTTGTTGTACAGTAAAAAATCAAAGTGGTATGCAACCTGTAGTAAGTGGCTTGCAATATGCATATGCAGCAGCAGGAGACATGTTGGCCAACTGCTTAATATGCCAGTGAAAATTACCAGTGCCTTAATGGGAAAGGAAGAGGAACTGGAAGTGGCAGGAGAGGTTGGGGGGGCATTATCGGTTGCATTAGATGGGGGGGTGAGACAGGCTCCTCTGAGCTGCTCAAAATCCCTGTGATTACTGTGTGATTGTACAACCCAATGTTAACACGTTGAGTGCATGGCTAAAAGAGCAGTGCTTTATATCAGCCCTTACTCTTTTAGGAACACGGGCTGGAGAAAATAAACAGATTGCTAACGCTGACTGGAGAAACAAATCTCCAAAAAGCAACTGTGATTTTAAAGGAAAGACAATGCAGCACCAAATACTACCCTTACCAACCTGGAGTAACTCCTTTGGCTACCTGGGGTTTTCTTGTGCGCTCAACCCTGTTGACTGGAGGGAGAAGTGTTATACATAAGATGAACCAGTTCTGCATAATGAGCCTGCCGCTGCAATGCCTAGGGATAGTGGCGCTAGAGAAAGGGCATGCAGCTGAGCGCTACATTCATAAACTGAGGATCAGGTCCAAGCCAGAGGCTCTGCATGTACATGTATTCTCCACCCACATCCCCAATCCTCTTTAACCCTTTGTTTTGAAATGGGGTGGAGGCACAAGGGCTTGAGACTGACTCTGCTGCAGAGGCCTAATCCTAATTAACCTTCCTCCTCTGTTAGATTCAAGCCAAAATACAAAATACCCATGTCCTGCTGTGCACCAGTGACTTCCAGGGCCAAGGACTGTGCCTCTAGCAGTACAAAGTTTGTACTTCCTGTTCAGCACCTTGGGATAATTAGAAATTAACATTTTTGTAAAATGATAAGATGGAATTTGAAAGGTGAAGCACTGCGAGAGTGGTCTGACTCGCCAAAGATCTCCATTAGCCTAGTTACTATACCACACATGAGGCACAAGAACAAACTGGACAACAGGTACTTCAATCCTGAAAACCTAAGATTTGGTATACATATACATATATGTAACCCGGGCAGTACTCCAAGAGGTACCCCCTCTCCAATTGAAGGGATCAGAGTAGGTGCACAAGTGCTGTGGGAGGTGTAGGGACTCTCTTCCCCCTATAGAGCAGAGCCAGACCACCAATGGGGACTTAACCATATACCTTTTAATGAGAGAACAGTACTAGGAACATAACCAGTATAAACCAGGGGGTATAGGGGACACTACAATGCCCCGACAGGGCAGGATTCAACAAAGGTTAGACACTTGCAATCACAGACATATTCATCCAGTTGACAAAAGACGGGGTAACCAAAATATAAAACACAAACAGCAGAACAAAGAATACGGGTTGGTGAAATGTAAAAAACACAAAATACAAAATGTCAAATAACAAGGAATATAGGGCCTAGGTACCTGGAGGGGGAGAAAGAGGGGAAAACACAACGACCCCTTTCCACTGCAACAAGAATTTCTCTCTGCTACTTCACTCACCCCAGCTGGGACTTGAAAGCAGATCTCCCACAGGGTAGGCAGAAACTCTACCACACAGCCACCAGTGCTGGCAGTGCTTCAAGCTGTGAGGGATCTTGACCTTCCTAGAGCCCCGGCCTCACGTCGAGCTGCCTGGCCTCTTATTGGAGGAGCTGGAAGCAGAGCTGGGAACCTCTCAGGTCACTGCTCAGATCCTTGCTGGAGCAGGGGAGCCTCTCCTGCTGGCTGCAGCCTCTCATAGGGGATCCTGGAGCCCAGCGGGGAGTCTCTTCTGCCAGCCCCACGCTGCGCTGCTGAGGGTCCAACTGCTGCCTTCAGGTCCCACTCCTGCAGGTGTTTCTGGGGCAACTGCTCCCACCCCGCTGGCCCTGCTCTTGCCAGCTCTTTGAAGCTCCTTCCTTGTGATCCCTTGCTGGTCTCCCTGAGTCAGCCGCGCTGCCCCTTTTCTCCCCCTCCAGGTGACCCAAGGGGCCAATCAGGGGACATGGAGGGTGAGTCTCTGGGGCCTGATTGGTGAGGAAAGGGAATCCGAAGTCATCCAATCATCTTTTGCCCCTTGAAAACCCCTGGGCTAAGCCAGCTAGCCCGTCACATCTACATGGGTGTTCATAAGAGATTTACATGTTGTAGTGGATGAAAAGCATATACGTTTCTACAAGTATTACTTTGTTTATTATATATGGTATATTTGTATAAGAGAGCACCTGCATTTGATTCTAGGTTTTATTAACTGTATTGTTGTAACTGGAAAAATCTACAATTCTGGAACCTTCCCTTTATTTATTCCTGAGCAAAGATCATGAAAAAGATCAAAGTGATTACTGTTTCCAAAAACAGTTTGGACAGATTTATTTCCAGTTCTAAATTTCTTCCAGGGGAACTAAAAGGTGAACAGGTCTTCCATTCATATCCTAGAATATTGTTAGATTTGGCAATGGAGAAGATGAGAGGATATATTATAGAGAGATAGATATATCTTCTGATGGGCTGGTATGAAAGGCATTTCTAACTAGAAAGAAGATGGCTTTAGGGATATGTAAAGCACTTAAATCAAACCTAAACTGTAAATAATGGAAGAACTGACCTCAGTAGAACTGGGAATTTGTCTTGTAATTAAATAAAAGAACAAAAATGTCTATTATCACAAAGGTCATTTAGGGTTAGGTGTCCGATCTCTTTATTCTCCCCTTGTTAGATCACTAAATATCCAGTAAGCTATGACTGAGCCAAGAAGTAGTATTGGTGACATTATCATTTTTCAACTATACGTTTTATATTTGAAGATGATATTTGATCGTATACAGCAGATATCCAGCCTTTATGAAAGGCCAGTTAAAAGTACAGAGGTTATGAAATGTTAGAATGCTGCTGCTTATACAAAGGCAGTTGGGTATATCTGGAAAGGGTAGATAATTTATCTTAGCCTGTAACACCAATAATATGACTGAAACTTCAGCAAAGCTTTGGGAGGTTCTTAAAAATGAACTTCCAATGCACGCAATAATTCATGAGCAATTGCTTACCAAGCCAATGTACAAATGATTGTATCTGTGTTGGATTGAAGTCCTACTGGAAGATTTTCAAAGGAAATGTTTAAAAGCGGAATGCTTCATATAAAATGTTCATTTTAATTTCACAAATTAGACTTAGGGATGCAGAAGAGATGAAAGAAAAGAGGCAAACACAATATTCCACAGTACAGATGAAAATCAATCTTCGTGCTTTTATACTAGAATTAATATGTATTTTTAAAGACAATAGGGTATACTTAGGAAACCTGATTGGGTGTGGTAAATAAAGGTCATTATGTAGCTTCTAAGCAGATTAGGATACTACAGAATATTTGGCAATAATGCTGAAGTAAGTATAAGGGAGGGTCATATATATGTGTGTGTATATACACATATGTATATACACACACATATATATTTACATGCGCATATGCATGTGTGTACACACATGCACACACAATCTTCATCTATGCACAGTATACAGAGGCTCACAGCAACTTCAACTTCCATTAAGATAGGCTGAGGATTTATTATGTGATAAATAATATAGGAAAGAGAACAACTCTGCCTCATGCAGCTGGATAAAAGATGAGCCCTGAATAGCCATTCCATAATTTCCCAGCCAAAGAGTTCTTTTAAAGTTTGCATCAAAATAAGAGGCAGTTTTTTTAAAGCTGTTTTGGCAAAATCTCATGACTAGATTCTTGTTCTACTTTGTAAAATAGCTTTGCAACATTTATCAAGATTACAGCAAGGGTCTCAAGTGAGACTGTAATAGCACCAAAACTAAAAGGGAAAAACTATGAATCACTATCTACATCATCAAATTACCCGCCTACTTGCCTATTTCTAAGGTGTCAATCAGAAAGTGGCATTGAAAGATAAAAGCGGCCCAGCTAGTATAAGATGCCTTTCACAGGTACTATAACCTTTAATACTGGGGTTTGGGTTCAGAGCTAAATCATGCTGCTAAAACCCAGCTTTGAGCAGGAAGGGGTGTGGTGGAGGAGAGGAAATCTGGGCCACAATTTCAACACTGCTAGCCCTCCGGGATTCTCTTTTCACCTTGCTGCCATTATTCAATCACTGATCCAAGCACTGCTAGACATACTTGTGAGAAAAGCCTGACAAAGCACAGACCACGTGGGAATAAACATCGCAGACCCTGGAGAACAAAAAGAGACTTTAATTTCCTAAAGTGAATGGAAAAGATAAAGTAATGTTCCAGAAGAGATTGAAACACAGGAAGGAGGCCAAAGATAAAATGATGCTGGACTTTTCAGCTGTTAAAACAAGACTCTAATGAAGCATAATCAGTGACTGACTGGAAGCCTGAACAAGCAGAAAATGGTTTAAGTACACTAAGGTTATGAGAACCTCTTCGGAAAACCATTTCCCAAAAAATGGCATCTTGCATCTGAATACACCCCTAACTGGTTGCAGCGTCCCGAGAGTGATGATCGTGCATCTGCTTTGTCATGTGATTCTTTCATAGATTCTATCCCAAATTGCATTTGTCTTTCATGCAGCCATATTAATTATAACCTAAATTTAATTTGCTGTTTGTTGTCTCCCATAGGTCTCCCACAGAATCACTTCCAGTTTCTCACTGCCATCTAATCTATTTATTATTATTGGTAATTTCTAGGCCAGTGTGTTTTTAGGCTGACGTTTTATGAACATTGTTAAGGCAGAGAAACACTGTGCTCCAATGCCGTGGACGCTAGGACAAGTGGCTGAAAGCCCCAAGGTCAAGGTTGAGGCCAAGGTAGAAGCACTCACATTGCAGCCATCTGTCTGACAGATTCCAACACATCTGCAAGACCTCGTCACCCGGACGTGAGCAAGGAAAGGAAAGGCAGAGAAATAATACAAAAAAAGCTAGGGACATCACAGACCAAAATAGATGGAGAATTAAAACAGCTTTCCTCATACTCAGGCACAATTGGGGTAATTCTTCCACGTGAGTCCTTCCCATTTCCAGACTTTAAATCTGTAAGCTAAAGAAATTCAGTGAAAAAACCCTCTACAGAAGGGACTTGTAGACGTGGGGGAGAAACTTTCAGAGAAGTTCTAGGGCTGTATTGTGTCTATCCTATCTTTTGTATATTGTAGTACGGTCTGCATTGTATCCTATTGTACACCCTTGTTTCACTTACCTACAGTTCCTATTGCACACATATTTCTTAATTTTATATCTCTAGGCACCCCCTTCAGCCTTGAATGTACTTGGGATCAGAACAAAGGTTATTATTCAAATCATTTACTTTGATCAGTTTATTAAAGAGATAACACTAGCATTCTATCAATACTGATTGACCCTAATGAATAGTTACAAACACCTCAAGTAACACTTTACCCAGATTCCTCTATTACATTTTGCTGTTGTGTCTGGTTGCAGTGGTTGATGCTGCAATGATCATGTACAGCTAAACTCAGTTTTGAATCCTACTGTTTGGGGGTGGGGGGAGGAGGAGTAAGCTGCATAATTTTCACTGCCTAATATAAAAGCATGTATGTTCATAGGGAACAGGCCTATTATTTTATAAATAAAACAGGGAAATAAATGTTTTAAAATTGCACAAATTACTGAATTAAATAATTCAAAAGTTCCTGTCTGCATTTTCATGACAATGAAGCCACATAAAAACATTACAAACTGAAGAGTTACCGAAGATAAGAGTGGGCAAAATATTAATGCCATCTGGTCTCTCCTAATGCTCATAAAAAGCCAAAACCTAAAATGAACCAAAGAAAATGAGCGTCTACAAAAATGGCCCTGGAGCCCATATTCCCCAGCAGAGGACTGTGCCTACAATCCCTGGTTGCCCCTAAATTTTGTATTAGTATTTTAAATACAGACCAAATCTTAACTCAAACCACTGTGCCGACCTAATTATAGGGATGTTGTCAACTTAGAACACACACACACACACACACACACACACACACACACAATCTGTGGTTATATTAGTATTTCTGTAATGCATTTGTTATAAAAGAAGGACATAGTATTGAACAGATTCTCAAAGTGGATTTTTTTTCATGGTCGAAGAGAAGGAAACAGCCAAATCTTTTGGACGCAGCCTTAGAACAAACTTCATGCACATCTTACTGCAATTTAGGTGCGGACTGTACCATTTACATGGTACAATATCCTGCCACAAAGGCAGGTTGTACAAACAGAAGATGAATGGATACTCCTCGTATTTGTCAGGAAATACAGTCTAACTGATTTTATTTCATATGAAATAACCTGATACTAACTGTCAAAAAACAGCTGTCACCCATTTGTCTGATGCTGTTACCCACGTAAAAAAAAAAGAGTATATTACAGTTTATAATGTTCTCCATAATATGGATGGTCCACCTAAAAGGAATAAGCTCATTGCAAAGGGCTAAACAAATGCTCATTGCAAAGGGCTAAACGAAGGCTTTTATTGCTGC